CCCTCTGCAAACTTAGGCTGAGTTCCTTAGTATGTGTGCAGTTGTATATTGACGCCTTCTGCTGTGCAGTGAGATGGCACCTTCCCCAGCAAATACAAATATGTGATGAATGAATGTTTAGCATGCAGGGCCAGTTTGGTTGATTAAATGCTGTAAAATCAGGATGAATACATGCAATCATGTACAAAGGGGCTAAACTGTGAAGACATTTTGCTTTACCAAGTGTTCCTTGTGCCTGGCCTAGTGCCTGAAAATTAGTAGGTATTTACTCAGTATGTGTATTAGGATTAGAGGGACAGGGCCTGGCTGTCTACAGCAGGATGGAACAGGAGACCGAGAAGACCCAGCCTACCAGGTTACAGATAGAGACAGTTACAGGTGTAGACAAGTGTGGGAGCTGCCACCCAAGAGGGCATCAGAGAGTGGGAAGTAAAGTAATGGTGAGGTAACTGCAGACTTCAGGCGGGCCACTTGGCAAGGGCTCTGCGGCTTGGTGGTCCCTGTAGCTGAGATTAGGGAGAATACTTGAGCCACCAACAAGGCAAATGACAAAACTCCTATCCTGGAAGCAGGCAACAAGCAGGAGACCCTGGTGGAGGAACTGAGACAGAAAGTATTAAAATAACTCATCTCCTAAAGGAGAGCTACACAACAGCAGAGCTAGCCTTTGGGTGAATAAAAACCAAAGTCAGGACTCTAGCTGGGCACAGAACTGAGCTTGTAGGTTGAAGGGCTTGTGGGACTACATCGGGGAAAAGGCAGTAGAAAGTGGGCAGGGCCTGAAAAGCTGGCATTTCAGATGAAAACAGCATAGTACATGGGCTCCAGACAGCTCTCTTATGAAATGCTTCCTAAGAGTGACATCTAGGGCAAGTGCCTTTGCAGTGCACTCCTCAGACAGCCTGCCTCCGGTGATGTTTGGGACGATGTTATTTGGTTTCCCGATTTTCTCAGCTTTGTCTCACGCACATTTGCTCTGTGCCTACTGTGTGGAAAGAACATCTTCAAAAGGCTTGTCTGCATGAGGCCAGGCTGTTTGCACTCCGGATGTCTTCCAGCACTGAGGGCCTACCACAGGCATGCACTCTATGTTCTTCTCATGGCATGCATTACTGCTCAGTCAGGGGAAAATATGCAGTGTTTCTACAACAAAAGGTCATAAAAATGTGAGTAGGTGCCACAGGACACTTGCATGTTTTCATTAAACATGTGTCCAAATTAGGTTTACTTCCTCTACTGCTGTACAGTAGTTTCATCTGCATCTTGAAGGCTTTTTAATGTCCATGTGATGGCAGGCAGCTCATCACTCTGTGCCCGAGTTACTGTTGCCTAAACTGACAGAAATGCAATGTGTTATGGTGGAGGGAGAAGCTGGGGGCTTATCTAATCTCTTCCCACATGCACCTGATGCAGGAACTGCCCCTGAGGACTGAAGGGTGGTGAAGGTCAGCGCAGTGGGGCTGCTGTGACCTGAGAGAGAAACGTGGGGGAAGGTTGGAGGCAGTGCCCCGCCAAGCTCTTGCTGGCTATGTTTGGATATTTAGATTTTGTTCAAAAGGGAGATGAGAAATCACTGAGTGGTTTTAAATAAAATAATAACTTCCTATCTATGTCTTAGATTCAGTTTTAAACAAAATTCTGATTTACAAATTTCTAAAGACCAAATATTTATTAGAAAGATGGAAGAACACAAAAATGTTGACGGTATTATTTTTTAAAGGTGGGTTTGTTTTTATTACCTTCTACTATTTTTAATATTTTGCTGGATTCTGTTTTTATAAAATGTATTTACTACTTTGAAAATTAGGGAAAATATTCTTATATAAAAATAAACGGGAAGTCAAATTTCATTTGCCAGTTATATCACTATATTTGTGTGTGACATATGTTCTGTGACTGTACAGTAAAGGTGAAAACAAACTGTTTCTAAAGTGAATTACCAGAGGGTAAAACATTAATTCCTTTTTTACCTCTTCAGTAGGGAGAGATTTTTCTAAGGAGAATTTACTTATCAAAATCGTCACCATGGAAAAGTATATGTTTAATACTGTGCTCCAAAGGTGCACAGGTGTTCTTGGGTTCAAACAGTGACTGTTGGTTTAGTGTCTCTGTGATTACAGCTCATCCCTGAACTCTCCTCTGTTCCAGAAATAATTTATGACCATGGTGTTCAGTTAAACTCCTTTGTGGAAAGAAGAGAGCGTTGGGTAAGGAAGGCCCTTCCTCTTTTCAGTTTCTGTCCTTGTGCCCTCTGGTCACGACACCGGTGTCTGTGTATGTCTAAGGCTCACCTCTCCTTAGCAAAAAGTGGATCAAGTTTTCTCCACCTTCCTAGCAGGTTATTCAAATATGTCTCGTGCATTAATTAACCTTATCAATTCAAAATTAGTGATTCACTGGTGATGAGAGTGCTTTCATTCTAAATGTAAATATATACAGCATTTCCCAGCTTACCTAAAAATGGCAGCTTTATTACCCAAGATCCTGAGATGCTATTTAGAGAGTTTAGAGACATGCTCTCTGATCCTGAAGAACTTCATCTCAAAAAGAGAACATGAAACTAAGAAACAGATCATCTTTCTGGCAGGCTTAGCCATAGGTGAAAACAAAAATTGTCACAAGGTCTGAGTCAAATGATGAAAACCTTCTGCTCATTTCGTCAAGCTGGAAAATTGGAAACTTAGAAATGGGTGTATAATCTCACACTGTCCTTCATCATATTCCATGCTTTGAGAGAGAAGGATAGGGAAAGTGAGGAGGTAGGGAGCAGGTAGGGAGGGGGCCAGGTGGAGTTTGGGCCCCTTCATTCTCTAACCCAGAGCATGCCACTTTTCTGTGTTTTACATAGTCTACTTCTGTCTGAGATCACATTTCAAAAGGGTGTCTCAACTTAAAAGTTTTCCAAAGTTTGAAGACCCACTGTGATGAGTATAACAAGGGCATATTGCATTGCTGGGGTAGTCGAGGTGCTGGTGAGTTCTATATATTTACATATTGTATATAGATGAATTCTATACATTTCATCTAAAAATCTCAAAAAAAAACAAAAAACAAAAAACAACCTACCCCACATTGTGGTAAGTCTTAAATTTCTACTTTACAGATGTGAAAACTAGGGCTCTGAAAAGATGTGTCATTTGAATCACGCCTACAGCTATTAAGCCGTGAGGCCTGGGTCAAATTCAAGTTGTTCTGCTCCAGAGCCCAACCTCCATTGCAGAGCCATGCTGTGTCGTGTTTAAAGCTCAAAGTGCATGGGTTTCCTGGCATCCAGATAGCACCAGTACTGAGAAACGCACAAGCAACAGCATTCACACTTGGTGTTTGCGCTATGCACACTGCCAGAAGTCACTATAGTGAAAGAGGTTTTGATGGTTTAACAAGCTTTGGTCATGGGAGATGGGAAAGTGCTGCAGATGTGAAAGACAGATGGGAAAAGGCTCATGGCAAAGATTTTGTTACTTTAGGTGGAAGCCACCTGGAGGGGGATTTTCGTTGGCCTCCCACCGAAAATCTTTTCATTAAAGAATATTTGAAACTTTACAACAAGAGAGAAGATCAATGCAGAGGTGCTGCTGGGATTTAGGGGGTGGCGTGGGCACTCTGGGAGTCTATGTGAATGCTTTCTGTCAGCAACAGGACAGATGGGCAGTCATTCTGGGGAAAATCCCTGGACAGCACAGATACAGATGCAATGACCACTTGTTCCTCAGGTCATCTTCTTCGTATCTGTCTGGTTCTTTAAACTGTGGCAGGATGCACTGTATTTGAAGCTAAATGGAGGAAACCCACCTTCAAGAGGAAAATTGAGTGTTCCAACAATTTGAACCATTTTTCTCTTTCAGTAAGTGTCACACTATGTGATTTGTAACTTTAAAGAAAAATAGGACTGAAATGTGTCAACTCCCTGGAAATAGTATGAAACCCAGTTGAAAAAACATACACTAAACACCCTAAGCCCATCTGGCCACAAAGATCTCAGTTTCTCTGACAGTTCTCCTTAGACCATGGGAGGGTAAGTTCTAAAACCACCAAATCAAAACCCAGCCAAGAGAACAAACAAGGACAGACAGGTTTCTCAACTTCAAGGCCATGCCATCATCTAGGAGTAACATGGGACTCAAGAAGAGACTCAGGAAAAGACTTGGTTGAAAGGTTAAGAGCAAGTCGAACCAGGAGGCTCTGGGTAGTGTGGGTGTGGATGTGAGGGGTACTCTTTAACAGGAGCCCAGGGCACGTGTACTTGTGTCTGCATGGCTATAAAATAGATTACCGTACTAGTGACAATTTTTCTGAATTATGTTCCTTTACAGTGGTTACATTTGCAAGTGTGAAAAGTTTACTTGGAGATTTGAAATATGTGATATCAAAAGTAGATATAGATCAGGAAGGAATGAAGAAGAAAGTGGGTGCAAACATCCCAGGGAGATGGGTGGGCCACGTCGGAGCCTGTTAGCCCGGCAAGCCAGAGCTCTTGATAAAACCTGTTACCAAGTTGACAAGACTGCCAGGCGAGAGAAAGGACTCTTCTTTACAAATGAGACTTGCACTCAGTGGTGTAATACGAATTTCTTGGGTAAGTGATTTGATAAATATCCATGTATACATATATGTGCATATATACATATACAGATATACATATATGGCAGAAATCAAGAGAAGCTCAGGACTGTATGGGAACCCTGAAAAATATTTGTAAAGTCAGGGTCTTCTAGGTAATGTTTTGGTTAGGTAACATTGAAAGGCCACACCTGCCGGCCTCATGCTCTCCCTCAAAGCCCTCTCCAGTAGCCATGCCACGCAGCTCATGGACCCTTTACTCATGGCTTAGAAATGGATGAACTACTGACAAGTGTCCTTTCTGCACTTGGGGAGGGAGTGGAGGTATCATGCCAGAGGGGGGCAGGAGGAGGCTAGAGGAGCCCCCGGGGGAGAAGTGAGGGCACTGAAAGCACACCTGGTTGCTGCAGGCAGTGGCCACCAAGAGGAAAGCCGCTTACCTGAAATTTCTGGAAGTGTAGACTTGTCTTCTTTCCAGAAGTTCCCATCACAAACAGGAAGTCTGGTGTCAGCACAAATGGCACTCGCTCTTTATTAATGCCCAGGAAACTTTTATAATTCCCAAGAATGTGTCCAAAGTCAATATGAAATAGGTTTCCTTAACAGAAGAAAATGTGTGACATCATTATACCAACATAAACACTTGTAACAGTGCCGTGATTTGTTTCTTGACATGTTTGTAAGTTGCCCGAAAATGAGCTATATTGGGCAATAGGGCTATTTTTACATTGTTTTATCAGTTTGTGATATTTTGGTCTTAGCAGGTGTGTGCAGTGGTAGCCACAAAGCTCTTTTTGAACTAAGTGTACTTTTGATATCCTCCCAGAGTTCTTCAAATGACAGTCAAATGCCATTAAGATATTCTTGTCTCAGAATTATCCCTAGAAAATATAAATCAAAACTCTGGCTCATATGTCAGGAGGACTCTCTCATGTTTTCTATGTAATTCTGGACACACTGTTCCACTGCTTGGGGGTGGGGCACCCACCTTTGAATTTGGAGTAGCATGACAGAAATACATCATGAGAGTGTCCTTTGGGTCGGTTTCTACCACTGTCATCATCATGACCCTCATTACCAAAGTCCTTCCATGAGTGCATGGCACTTTATTGTATGTATGGCACTTTATTGTATGTATGGTCTATGAATACATTATGTTTTGATAGAAAGAGTGATTTGCCCCAAGCTGGTGCTTTTCCCAGACTCCATACTTAAAGGGGTCCCATTTTCTTAGAGACAGATATCATGGTCAGTAGCCAGTACTGACCACTGCCAGAGAGGCCAGTGACCCTTGAGGTGGGCAGGAAGGCCCAATTTCAGATTCAAGGATATCTGGAAGTTCTTTTTTGAGCTTCTCTGGAGCATCAGGCACTGCTGGTCACTCCAACCTTCAGCAGCTTCTGGCACATAGTGCTCGCCTTGCTTTCTAGCTACATTCTGGCATTTCCTCTATCCTCTCTTACTCATAGATCTTGCCCGTGGTAACCACAACCTTTCAGTCGTTACACAATAATAATTTCTAGATATGTGCTCTGGCCTTGAACTCTTTTTAATAATTACTCTGTGCTGGGAGTGAGAGGGAATGAGGAGTTAGTGTCTATGGGGACACAGTTCCAGCTGGGGAAAATGTGAATGTTCCAGAGGAAGGTACATGATGGTGGCACAACAAAGTGAATGTGCTGAAAACCACTAAACTTTACACTTAAAACTGATTACAAGGACACATTTTATGTTACATATATTTTACCATAATCAAAAAATAGTAAACTCACCTGTCTCTGTGATCATAATATTGTCATTGTGTCTATCACCTATTCCGAGAACAAAGGTTGCCACACAGTAGCCAGCACAGGAATAAACAAATCTCTCCACAGCTGCCTGAAACTAATTAAAAATGCATCAACATATTAGTTTGTTCTAGCTATAAAGAGTAGCATGAATTCATTACAAAGGACTTGCAGAAAGACACCATTCAGAGAACAATTTTCGGAGTTCTTAAAAATCAGCTGTGCCTGATTTCACTAATGTTATGGTCAGTGGTGACTTTCATATTGCTCCACTGTATTTCAGGTGAAAACTCAGTGAATCACAATAGCATGAGGAGGAAGCAAGAGTCAAAGGCCAACAATAATTTAATCAAAGGGTTCACTTCCTTTTTATGCACCACTTACCAACAACTGTATGGAACCCATAATAATTTCTCCTTCATTGCTGAACATATGTTTTGCCTATGACCACTTAAAGTATGCATGGGTTCATATGTCCACATGTTTAACAGATAATAAATGCTACTAATCATATTTCCTCCACAAAGGCTGCTAACTATGCAAATGAGAAGTGCTAATCCTGTCAGCACAATCCAAACAGCCTAACCACACAGCTTGTGAAGGATTCCTCATCTATACTTCAGAGGAATGGTGGAATGACATTTGCAGCATCCATAATTTACCATTAGATTAGAGGCAGTGGTAGATCACAGATTCCTTTACGGGGTATGTGGTTTTTCTGCTGAACAACAAATATCATCATAAAAAAGGGCTAACAAGTTACTATTTTCTAGAACCAAATTTTATGCAAAGCATGCCTGATAATAAAAGGAGAAGCAAATGTGGGTGGAGTTCTGAACTGAGCGCCATTTTGCACCCTGGCCAAGCATTTAAAACTCCTGTGCTTCAAAGGAAGGGGCCTCCCAGGAAGTCAGGAAGCACGATGTTGGGTGAGCCTTTGAAGACATGAGGCCACTGTTGCTGTATCACTGACAACTTGCAGGAGCCTTCAGAGCTGGGTTGAGGAGTGGGGCTGTTAAGCAGGAGATCACCTTTTCTTCAATAGGACATTTTTCTTTGAGCCAGTGATTCAGGACTTCATCTTTAAATGCGCCTGTGTTGCCCACTGTGCTTTGCTGAATTTTGGCGATTGTTGTGGCATCTTTCACGATTTCGATCATCCCTACAGAAGGAGGCACAGAATTTGATGTAATCTGGGGCTTAGTGTCTGACCCCAAGAAATGGCTTTGTCTTTGCTGTGTAGAGGAAAAAGACTAGTTTAACCTCACAGGGCTATTTTTTCCAGGTTCATGCTGTTGGTTTACATAGAAGGAAGAGAAAGAGGAGGATATGGAAGTTTGTGGGACATGTTGTCAATATCCCTGAATGAAAAGAGGAAAGAGTTGGCTTCAAAAGGCAATAAATACGAGTATTTATGTGCTAAACATATCCTTCCTCCCTTGGCAAACTATACACCTTTTCCTCCCTCAGATTACAGGGTCACATGGAAATAGTTTGTATGTTTTTCAAATCGGAAACTTGAATAAAAATGTTTGATCTAAACTAAAAGGTTAAATGTCTATAAAAGCACCTGTGAGTAGAGTAACAGCTTTGGTAATAGGGATTCTAGGGTATTAAAATAAGTGACAGATCTTCCTGTCTACTTTTAAGTTATTTGGGAGAGAGAAGTTGAGTACGCAATGAAATGAGGCCAAGTTTAGAGGTGGAAAAGTAGAGAGGAGGGAACAAATTCTTATTAAAATCATTTCCATGTATAGTCACAAGGATTTGAATCACACATTCTTGTTTTTTCAACGTAGCTGTATTAATTTGAGAGTCACATTTATTGGCCTTGGACATTTTCTTCCTTTCTTTATGGAATATGATTGGAATTTTTGAGTTATTAAATGCCTAGACTGAAGGAATTATGATCTTTTAAAGTGAGCTGAGTCCTTTATTCCTCTCCCGATGTAACTACCTACCTATTTTGTCACCAGTTGAAATGCAACCATATGGCAAGAGACACAGATCCAAAGATTCAGTCTCCCAAATGGACTCCATGATTCGTAGAATCTAGACATCAAACAGAAATGTTTCCATTATAATATATATTTACTTAATAAATATGTTGTTCTTAGGTTTACAAAATATTCATGTAAACAAGAACTATGCAAGTGATACCTGTAGTTTTACTTACTAACATGGTACTCTCTAGAGCTTTCCTTCTATAGGAGCCTGCAAACTCTGGACCATCAGATAAGAATAAAAGGGACAAGCAGATTTCTTTGAGGGTAGGTTTCAGACATGTGTCATCTATTCAAATGTTTCACTCTGGTTATTTATATTTTACCACAGTTAAAAAGTTCTACTCTAACATCTTACTCATTTTTATCTATGAGACACTCTCAGATTGCAACCAAGGCAAAAATCATGATGATGATAGCAGGAACATGTCCTTAGTGCTGAGTTTTGTCAATCATGATGATAGCAGGAACATGTCCTTAGTGCTGAGTTTTGTCAATCAGTCTCATTAATGCTAAGTGTGGATGATTATTACTCCATTCTGAAGGTAAAGAAGCTGAGACAGAGAGCTTGAATTACCTTTCTGCCCATCAAGCTATGAGCCTCAATAACAAAACCAAGCACATAAGGAAAAAGGCAAACTTCCCTTCAAAATGAGAGGAACAACAGAGTGATGCTTTGTGTTTTTGAAGTGCCCATTTTCAAAGGATTCAATAAGTTTATTCAAAATTTAATAATTTTTTAGAAGGTTTGAGGGATTTTTTTTTCTTTTACTAAAAAACAAACAAACAAACAAACAAACAAACAAAACTTCCAGGACAATACACATGCCAGTCTTAAAAAGAAAACAAAAGCAAGAGTTTTATTGTTTCCATATTGGAAATAAGTAAAAACAGTAATGGAGAGAATTAAAAACATGCCAACTTCTAAATAGGTTATACTTAAAGTACTGTGGTTTGCCTATTTGAAATAAATATTAAATGTTAGAAATTATGTTTGTTGAACAACTAGGTAGGGTATGAAGACTATTACTTTATACATTTGTGAAACTAATGTTTATCCAGAAATACCAGAAAATCTGAAAATGATCAGCACTAATGACTTCAACATTGACCTTCTGCTCTAGTAATTATTCCGTCTTGCCACTTAGCTGAGTGGTTTCCCTAGTAACCTACATCTTCATCTTATTTCTCCTTACACATCATTCCCTTTTGAGTTAGTGTTTGTGTATCAAAGAAGATGTGTCAAACACACATACCTTATGTCCTATGAACTCATGCTTCTGTGAGTATGAAGAGAGTGGGGGTAAATATACCCATATCCTATGTACTATATCTCTAGCTCATGTTACCATACCAGGAATAATATGTATACAAAAAGAGGTTAGGTAAAGGAAGTAAGTATTGCGAATGTGATATGCATCTTCTTGGGAATTACAGGCCTGTAGTGCTCACTGGATTGTGATGTAGTGATCCATAGCCACCACCTCTCAGTGAACTCTGTTATGTAATCCTTGATCACTGCTTATCTCAAAAAAGAGGAATGTGGAGATAAACTCTGTAGAAGGTGTTTTTCATTATGATAAAGAATTCTTTTTTTTTTAGTTAATTGGAAAAAATATTGATGGCAACATACCTGTAAAATAAGCATGTCTTGGCGTAGATCATCCCCATGTTTAAAGATGATTCCAATTGTTTCATTAGATAGAGCTGTAGGGTCAGCACATTTAAATTCAAGCCACAGGGGCTTTTTCTTGGAGGCCATGACTTTACATTTTTCAATCTGTAAGAAACAGTCACGTGTCCTACATACAATGCACATGCATTGTGAAGGCACAAATTCTCTTACACAAATTCTTTTATAGATAAATTTCTCACTGGAAATGAGTTTCAATGATCTGGGTAAAAATATATCATAGGACTCTTCTACTCAACTTTCCCTGAAATAGAGAGAACTTCCCTGGTTTTTACTTATATGTTTGGCTTCCCTGAGATTTAACTTGAATAAGGAGTTCTACAGCCATCATAGTATCTAAAAATTATTACTGCAGAATCATATCCAATGGGTAAAATCTAATATGATGGAATTTAAGAGTATTAAATGGAGCCTTACTACTCAGATACAATGCCTCCCCCTTCCAGAAATACCCCTGTACCTCTAGATAAATTCAAGGTGCAGTTTAATAGCCAATCACTTGAAAATTAAAAAAAAAAAAGGGACTTTAAGCCAAAAGTGAATTCAGCATACATCAAAAGTGTGCTGTTTAAATGGAAAAAAAACAAATACAATTTGAAACTATATAAATGTATCATCCCTACCAGTCTCTAAATGAAAGGAGGTAGATAACATGTGCTTTTGTCATAGGGCCAGTTTATTGCTAACTGTATAAAAATTAAACATGCAAGGGAGGAACTGCCTTTATCAATGAGACTTAACAGCTATAGGAATTGGTATCCTCCCATAGCAACTAGAAATTGGGCAAGATATACAAAGCAATGCTTTTCGGCAGTGAACAATAAGCAGTGTAGGACGGTGGCCCTGTTAGAAGGGAAAAAAGTTGGGGGGAGGCGTCTAATTGTCTTGGTTTACTGTCTAGGGGTTGCTTCTAGGCTACAGCCCAGACCAGATATAGTCAGTGGTCTAGATGTTCTCCATAAAGTTGTAACTCCAAAAGGAGGGAGACAGTAAAAATATTGGCTGAGTGCTCCCCTTGGCAGCACATATAGTAAAACTGGAATGACACAGAAAAGATTGGCATGACCCCTGCACCAGGGTGTCATGAAAATTGGTGAAGTGTTTTTCTATTTTTATATGTGGAATCTAAACAAACATGAATAAACAAACAAACAAAAAAATACAGAAAAAAGATTGTTGGTGGTTCCAGAGGGGAGGAAAGGGGTGGGCAAAATGGGTGAAGGGGTTCAAGAGGTAGAAAATTCCAGTTACACATACATCGTGGGAATATAATGTACAGCATGGTGACTGTAGTTAACAATATTGTATTGCATATTTGAAAATTGCTAAGGGAGGACATCTTGAAAATTTTCTTTATAAGAAAAGAAATTATAACTTTCTATGGTAATGGATGTCTTCTAGACTTAATGTGGTAATCATTTTCATGACATCAAGGAGATACATACCACTAGGGCTCCTGCTTTCAGTCCAGGATCATACGGAACTCTGAAACTTTTTGGGAGATTCAAAGTCTGCAGGTTTTCAAGCTTTTGTTTAAGTTGTGAAATAACTGCAATTGTCAAAGCATATAAGACATGAGAATTCAAGAAATTTAAATACCAATATTATCAATAAAATGTCTGGACACCATGTCTACTCACAATAATCTACATATTTGATCTGATATGGAGCAAAAGAAAAAGGGAAAGGCTTCAGCTTTTGAAGAATTAACCTTTGCAGGTGGCAAGAAAAGTCAGGCTTCCTGTAAGCAATGTAGCCATGTAGACATACCAGATCAGGGGAAAGAAGTAAGTGAATATATATAGGGCAGCAAGGCAATTAGATAGAGAAGGGTGCATTGAGGATAACACTAAGGAACTGATACTTTAGTTTTCTTTCCAATGTGGGAACTTTAAACTGCTATCTGATTTAGGGAACAGATATTTGAAGGCCAGATTAAATAGCATTCAGTTAGAGTTCTGTAAATTCTTTTCAAAGGGGGAAGTTAGATTTTGTACAGATAATAATGATGACCTTCCAATTCTAAAGGCAAAATGCATAAATTAAAAATTATTCTTTGAGTAACAGATATACTGGAGACAAAAAAATTACTATTACTTTTTTTAGAAGTAACCATTTATTACTGTACTAGAAAAAAGGAAAAAATTATTATTGCTGTATTAGTCAAAAGGAAAGAATTAAAATTCAAAATATTTAGAAATTTAAAAAACTGACCCAATGGTAGTAAATGTCCATTATAAACTACTGTTCTGGGTCTTGGAGTATAAAAATTAGTAAGAGTTATCTCCTAGCTTCATAGTTTATACAGTTTACCATATCGGAAAGATGTGTTTACCATATCGGAAAGATGACTATAATTTAATGTAGTATGGGAAAACAAAAAAGGAATGATTGTCCTAGAACATGGAGAGGGTTTTTAAGGACAGCAATAAGAAGATGATATTTGAAATTTCAGCGAATATAAATATACACATATGTACATACATATGTGTGTATATAGATCACTCTGAAATATATATGTATATCTATGCAAAAAATTTAAAATAGCTTCTCAATAATTCATTACTTTAAAAGACTGAACATTTGAAAATTCTATGCCTACTTGAAAGATGGAGAAAAAAGTAAAGATCTGGAAATAATGAATCTCTGTGTACAGTTGTGTTTTAAACAATCCCTCATATCTACATGTCTTTTAAAATTTTCAAAAAGTTTAATATCTATTATTATAAATTTATTGCTAAGAACATGTCAGTATACTGATTAAAAAAAAAAACTTGTAAAGGAAGGTCGCTGAATTTGCTTATTCCATGCATACAGAAGAATAAAAAATGCATTCTTGGCTACCTTTAGGAAGGTGAAATTTGCCTTCCAGAAGGAAGAAGAATCACAGGGAGGATATTTGGAGAAGAAGGCATTTGTAAAGAGAACCAAGAAAGTATCCTCTATACCTTGGGAACTGACATCATACTTCTCTGCAGAGAGGGATTTAATATCAATGGTGACTTTCTGCAACATCTCGATGACCTGGACTTGCTGGGTGAAGTCATGCAGCATGGCCATGCCACAGCCCCTCAGGTAGGCCTCCAGGATCACAGCAAACCTCTGCTGATAGTGCCTGGATTGGGCTATCTCACTTCTCAAGAACCAAAACAAGAAGTGACCGATTCTTTTGTTCTGAGGGTGGGAACAAGATGGTTGACATAATTATGACTAATGCTTTAGGCTTACCAGTCAGTTCTCTCTAACTTTTGACTTGTCACACTATTATCAAAATGGAAGTACTTACTCTCAAACCACGCTTCAGCAGAAATCTGGCAAGGGCACTGTCGTGGTATGGTTCAAATTTCACAGCCTAAAGGAAGAATACATTGTCATTTGTGGGACTGCATTTTGTGTAGTTTACTCAGGAAAAAAGACATGGAGGACGGTGGAGCTCCCCCGCAGTGGACCCATGTGGAAGGGGTGATGAGAATCTTACCAGTCACTTCGGTTCACTCCTTTCTTTTCCAGGGCACTTTGGGCCTGAGTGAGCCTCTGGTTTAAGGACTAGGATTAGAAGCCAGAACTGCCGCAGGCATGCGCTTTTGATCACTTCGGACCCTTTGCTCTCAGTGAGGACTTACTTGATTTGTTGGGGAGGTAGAAGGGACAGATGGAGATGGCTGTAACACATCTCTACCAGTGGAAGGTGTGAGGATGTTGGAACAACAATAAAAAAATAAAGGGACACTGGAAACAGGGCATATGAAAGGAGAAAAATACTTGTTAGATATGAAAAGTCTCAGAATGTTGTGGCTTTCCTTCTGCTCAGGTGTGTTTGGCCTCTCACTAGCAAATCACTGAGCCACCCATGGGTTCACACTGCTAGCAAACAGCATGCCTAGATCACCCCCACAGACTGATCACTACCCATTGCCACGCCGTGGTGTGTGTACACAGTTTTTGTCTGAAAATCTCTAGTTTCTATGCTTATTAGTATTTAGCTTATTAGTATTTAGTTTTTATATCCGTTAGTATTTAGTTATTAGTATTAGTATTTAGTTTTTATATTGGTTTTTATATCCGTTGGTTAAGAAGAGATACTGACTTAAGGGACAGTCTATGACTTTAGAAAAAGAACCAATAAAACAATCCAATTAGGGCCAGCCTCCCTGGTGGCCTAGGGGTTAAGTCGCAGAGCTTTCACTGCTATATCCTGAGTTTGATTCTGGGCCAGGGAGCTGACCCACATGGTGCAGCAGACCTCGCCTGTCTTGTCCAGACTCCCCGCAGCAGTGTACTTCAGTATATTTGCCTGTTCTGCTCCCCACTCTGTGTCTGGTTAATCCTCTCACCCCCTGTACCCCCTACTCCCCAGTTCTTCTATACAAAAGACAAAGAAACAAAATACAATTAAATTTTGGTGAATGCATGACCTATCATTTTTTGTACTCTGCTCTAAGCTTGTACTAGTTTATAATTTTAAAAGCAGCAAGACTAGGGCCCTCCCTGGTGGCGCAGCGGGTTAAAGCACAGCACTGAGAATCTAAAGCCGCTTCTGCATGAGTTCGATTCCCGCCTGCCCCGGAGGAGACCACATGGCGTGGCAGACCTCTCCTGACCCGCCCGCTGCTCCCCTCAGCAGTGTACTTCGTTGATCTGCCTGTTCTGTTCCCCATTCTGTCTCTGGTGAAGCCTCTCGCCGCCCCTGAGCCTCTGGCCTGTACCCCAGTTCTGTATGCACAAATAAATAAATCTTAAAAAAAAAAAAAAAGCAGCAAGACTAACAAAATGTTGTTCAGATTATAATGATGCATATATATGACATAAGAGTGTAGTATAGATGTCATGTATTAAGTGTAAGGAGAGGCTTAAAGTTAAGTATGGCATAGTGTTTTCTTTAATCAGAAGAAATAATCTATCCTCTTTTTACCAAAGAACAGGAGAAATTCCCATTCTATTTTATGTTTAAGACACTGCTATAATTTCCAATTCTTACCCTGCTTTTCGTGCTTGTAAGGGATCAATACTGAGGTGATAATATTTTCAATTATCCCTAAAGTTTTTAAAAATGCTTTTCATGGCTGTGGTCAAAGCGTTGCCATTGTAACTGCCGTTAAAGTACTAATTCTGAAAATGTGGTTATTTAGTCACGGTACTGACTTCAGACATGTCTTAAGTTTCTAACCCAAACATGAGTCTTTTTTACCTTCTTCATGTTTCAATTCTGTAAAGACTGCAGAGCTCAGCTATGAGACCATTTTAATCAGGAATGAGTCATATGGCCCTAATTGAAAACATCTCATACAGTTTTACAAATGACTACTTTTTCAAATTCATGACCATAGACTCAATGTATGTTACTTATTGACCACTCATTTATAACATTTCCAAGACACTATTCCCAGTTGTGCAAAGTGTACTTGTAAATATGGTAATGAAACCTAATCCATGGTAGCCTTGGGGCTTGGAGCAGTTCTGCTATAGATTTGTTTTATGTTCTTTTTGTTATGAAAAGCTAGAAAACTGAAGACATTTTGATTGTCCTAAAAGTTTTGTTAGTGTTATGCCAGTATCTAAACTTGTAGGTAGAAAAAAATACTGAGTGTATTTGACTCAGATGAAGACAAGCTAAATGAGATTTTTTTTTTTTTTAAATCTGCCTAATGGGAAGCTGAAAATTCAGAGTTAAAATTGAGAATATCCAAAATAAAACTCCAGTGATTTTCTATTAATATGGATAATGACCAGTCAATGTAGTATCTAACACTGAGCCTGAATAATCCCAATGATTTCAGGTCAAATAGCACCTAGACAGAACTGTCTCTGCTTTCCTCAGCCTAAACTAAGTGCCCTCAGGATCCCTGACTGTGGTCTTCCTCAGAGCCCTTGTCACTGTTTATTTGTGTCTGTGTATGTGTACCCATGTCAGTCTTCTCCATGGCACCACAAGCTACAGGACAGCTAAGACTGGCTTCACCATTGCTCTAGCATGCAGGACCGGGAAGCGCTCAGTACATGTTGCTGAATTAATGAATGAGCACGTCTGTGCTCTAGAATAGCATTTCTATTCCAATTCCATACTTCCTCTTCCTTCTCAAACAGCACAATATAAACTGAGAATGCCTTGGGAACAGTTCCTCCTTTCTCTAACTTCCAACCTAAGCCTTAGGCAAATCACTTATCCTCCCTGGACTTGGGAAAGGCAGGAGAACTGGAGTAGAAGCATAGAACTACCAGGTTTGTCTAAAAGGAGAGGCTTACAAGGTCCCATCCTGATGAGGTGTCCACAAACTGTGACTAATATGTTCAGAATAAGAGCTTTATCTCTAGAACACACAGAATACTGGAGGTGGGTGAGAGTGGGCAGTGAAAAGAGCAGAATGGCCTGGAGTCAGACCTCATGGTTTTGAATTCTAGTCTGTTGCTTTAAAAGCCTGTGACCTTGAGCACATTACATAGTTCTCCATGCCTCAGTTTCCTTGCATATAAAATGTAAAGGTTAATTTGCCCACTGCAATTATTGGGAGAGTTAAAGAACACAGGAAAAGCATGTAAACCACTTGGGGCCATGGCGCAATAAATTAAACCTATCATGAATATAATAAATAAGGACAAAGTACTCCCAAAGGGTCAAGCCTTCTAAAAAGACAAATACTGATGTCTTAAAATGTTAGCAACTCTCAAAGACAGTTTGCTACTTTTTGAGGCAACTTCATCACATCTACTTTGACTGGCTGTGACCTTCTGGACAAAGGACAATAGATGATAACTGAATGGGGTGCCTGTACACATGCAAATCAGTTCCTTGGGAGAGTGCGCCACTGACTGCCCGGCATCCCCTACCTGGACCAACTGTAGCAGGTAATGCAGAACATCATCATCCTCCAAGTTCTCCAGTTTCTGAACTGCAATGGCTCTTACGTTTTCATCTGAAAAGTTGCAGTCCAGGAGTTGCATTGTTAACCCAACATCCAAAGCACTTTGATCCCAGACTTCCCTTCTGGCTAATAATTGGTAGGTTTTGGCCACAATGTCTTGCTGTCCCCATTTTACTGAGCTAAATAGCTTAGGATATGCTTTCGGGTGCTTAAGGCTTTCATATCTGAAATGCCAGAGCAATTCTTTGTCCTCGGCTGTGAGAGGATTAAGGGGATCAGTGGCTATGATGGCTTCCAGTTGCTTCCGAAGCTGATTGGGCATTTCTGCGCGAACCCGGTCTCCCTCGGGGTCCGGGGTGGGCCGATGCTTAGGCAAAGCAATTGGGTGACAGTAATTGTCCAGAAGGATGGAGATGGACATTGAGTTCTCCTTGTCTGGGTTAGTTGCGGATGTGAGTTTGTCAGCATTGAAGCTCCCTTGATCCTCGCCTTTCCCTGATATCTGCCACATGTGCAGGACATACTCCCCGTGGCGCAGCAGGAACCGGTGGTCTATCAGCAGTAGGTTCACGTAATAGAGAAGCTGAGCTTTGCTTTTGGACTCAGAATTGGGAGCCTCCGCAGAGGCCTTGCCAGACAGTACTGGAGCTTTGCCGCAGTAGATCTGGAGGTTCAGTAGAGCCCCTTTGGGCAAATCTTTGATCTTAATACCGAACTCCAGCCACACATTCCAGAGAACCTCATCTGTGAAAGGTTTGGAGCTGGTTCTCCGCTGGCAAAGGACCTGCTGCCCATGCTGGATGTTTGCCTCCACAAAAACTGTGAGGTCAGTGTTCCGGGGCAGGACAGGGATGTCAATGCCTCTGATCTTGACCCTGAACTTCCGGTCACAGTCCCACAGAGACACGGTGAATACGCTCTCGTGGTCCTTCCCGTGGATCGTCAGCTGCTCATGGTAGCCGGTGACTCCCGTGCAATCATCCACCAGTGGCCACTCTTCTTTCTTCACCTCATCCAGGGCTGGGTCAGGGGGCGCATCAAGCACCAGGTGAATCTCTTCCCCATTCTTGAGGCAGTGCCTCACCCACTGGAAGTTTTTAATGGGAGTTTCACCCACCAGGTACTCATCCCGGCCACAGACACGCAGCACAAAATCCTGTTCATTTTGACTTTCTGGAATATTCATCAGAGACTTTTTCTTGGCCATCTTGGTAAAGAAGCTCTGCAAGATGGTGCCTGGAGTGTCATCCGCCGAGACCTTGATGGTCTGGCTGGTGGTGCCGCGGTGAATGACAATGAAGATGCAATTGTTGGTAATCTTCTTGGACAGGTAATCCGGGAGGGGCTTGGACGTGACCCAGGGGTGCATGGCATAAAGCTTGGGGTCACGGCCCGCCACTTCCGCCATGCGCGGGGTGACCAGGCGGCGCCGCGTGAACTCGAGTTCATCGTCGTGGACGTTGCTGACGTCGGTGACGTCATAGCCTATCAGCTCAGTGAGCTGCTGCTGGAACGCCAGTGTCTCCTCCGAGGGTGCGTGCCGCTGCACCACGTGGATCTGGCCGGGGCTCCGGTGCAGCACATTCCAGTAACGCAGACAGTCCAGGGTCTGCACCACCTGGTACTTGTCATAGATCTCGTACCACTGCCCTTTTTTCTGGTAAAGCAGGAGGAAGTGGTCCGGGCCCAGCCGGTGATAAAAGTCAGCGGCCACGCTGGTCTCCAGCGCACGTAGCCAAATCTGGGCCTTCATCTGCTCCACATTGCCGTGGCTGGCCACGTGCAGCAGCGTCGTTTCGGGGTTCTTGCTGTTGCGCTGGCTAGTGGGCAGCACGAACTCGATGGGGATGAGCTCCATGGAGGACAGGCTGGCCGCGGTGCTGCGAGGCTTCATCCTCCGGCGCCGGCGGCGGTTGTCCTCCCTCAGAACCACGGACTGATCATAGTTCTCCAGCTCCATGCCCCGTGCAACCTGGTTGCAGAGAAACAGAAGGCTTTTTCACCGGAAAGGTATTCTCCCTTTACAGTTGCCTGTGAGATGGCAGAAAGAGAAGCAGGGTGTACAAGAATGGTGGGTGCACAAGGACACAGGGACTTTGGGGTCCCGGCCTCTAGTCCTAGTGCCGCTGAGTGTCTGAGGGACAGGCTAGTTCTGTGCGCTCTGGGCCTGTGTCCCTCTGTCGGATGCGGGGGAGGGGGAAGTAAGTAAGGCAATACATAGTTATTCTGTATGCGCAACGGGCTTATGGGGGTTCGTGAACCATTTTGCTTTTCTATGTTTGAATATATTTTTTTAAAAAGATACGTAAAGTACTCATATTAGCCACAGCACGTTGTCTGATATGTTCAATATTACAGTGGTTCAGCGTGGTGATTGTTATTGAGCACACTGAAAACACATGAGTATAGTCACAGGGTCAAGTCCTAGTGTACAGGTGCAATATGAACTACTGAAACACTGCACTTTGAAAACAGCCCTTTGGCTTATTTCCTCATTGTTCGGCCTCACATTGCTCCTTAGGACCCAGATACCTTAACCAACATCACTTCATGTTCTCTTTTTTCAAGCTGTTTAGACCCAGAATCTACTCCTTAGTCAACTTCCTGTCTTTCTTTGCAATTTTTTTCTTTCTTGTTAGGAAAGGCAGTCTGCATTTCATTCAGAAAACAGAACAGTCTCAGAACTGGCATGTTGTAATCAAGAACATTAAGTTTTCAATTATGAAATTCTGACTTTATTGCTCTATTAGGACAATATTGTAGGGAAGTCACACAGGCTTTATTCTCTAATACTAATTTTCAGATGATTTAAACTGTACCAGTTTATTACATCTACTTTAGATAGTGGAGAAGTCACGGGATGGAAGGCAGGACTTCCGGACTCCACTGACCTGCTGCTTGGACATCAGTCGTTTATTTAACTTTTTCTTTTGCTCTAATATTTTCATCTCTGTAGTGAAAAATCAAATTTGGTGTCATCAGCTTATCCACTCACCACACATACTTAAGAAATACTTTCCCTGCTTAAAGCATGGGAGGAAGAAACTCTTCATAACCATTGAAATAATAAAAATATTAAAATTAAAATATGAATAAGGCATTTCATTTTAATATTTAATATTAATACCTTGTACCATATATTTTTAAGACTCAACTGTCAAAACAAAAAGTAATGTTTCAAAATATAATTTACTTTCTTAAACAACCAATGTTAGACTCACACTACTTATTTCAAGAAAAGCTATTTGATGTATACTGAAAAAAGAAATGTTAAATCAAAAAGATAAGGATGTTTCTTTAGCTCCAAACTTACATTCAAATCTTAAACTTATTTAAAAAGCCAATATACTTTTTCTTAAAATATTACAAAGTTATACTTAGTACATACATGAAGCCAACTGTTCCCAAAAACTGTCTCTTTGAGACTTGAAACATTTATGATTGGTCTTTTCCTACACTATAGAACAAAAAGAGAACGATAAGACATATTAAGATTGACACTAACTTGAAGTAAAATGTAGGCACAGGCAGATAAAGCACAGTACCTTTGCCTCAGTGACACCAAACAATCTTACAAGATAGAAGAAGCAGAAGAAAATGGGTTTGACTAAATACTCACTGCTGTCCTTCATGATTGAGGCTATGGAGATTTCTCCTTTGCTTGAGGATATTAGAAACACTGTTCAGTATAATAAACACTAGGCATGCACTTTTATGATCATGAAGCCCCTGTGCTGTCCCTTTTCCTCCCAAATAAAAACAAAAAGGACTGAAGCACCTGCAAAGCTATTGCTCCACGCATCTAGGTTCAACCCGATTCAGAAGAACCGAATGGTAGTATCATCACAAGAACAAACAACAAGTCCAGATAAAAATATTCTAGCGGAGAAGGAAGTATCGCTATTCCTGGTCAGTCCCAACAAAGGGCAAAAAATAGAAGGAAGCAATACCTGATAAAGCAGCGGAGGCGATGATGCCGAAGGATCATTTGTTTAATTTCTGAAAACAAAACAAATTCAAATCTACCCCGTAGGCTGCTAGCTCTTCCGCTTTTCTGGGTCTCCCTTCATATCCAGATGCAGAGGAAGTGTTGCAGTTACCAGGAAGGAAGTTTTAACCAAGTTGATTATATGTGCGATTGCTCATTTAAAAAGTGTCAGAAATGCATTTCCTGTTACAGCACAGACGGCAAAGTATGAGAGTCAGCAATGTTTACCATAGATGTATATATTTTTACACATTATACTATTTTTTAAAATCATGAGACTGAAATTAAAATTACTTAGCTCCAACAAACAAGAAACACACATTCATGAAATAGCCACATGCAGTATACTTCTATTTTTAAGTAGAAGACTTAACAAGCACAAGTTAGAAAAACAGACTAAATTAGAAAGATTGTAGGAGCCAAATTAAACCCCTTAACCCCGTGAACTCCATTCAACTAATTTTTTCCTGGTGGAATTCAAACATCAGCAAACACTTGTTCAGATGTTATAACAGAGGGGTGGGAAAAGAGCTTAGTGAGTTGTCCAGTCGAACATTTTCTAAGAGAGAGCACACTTCTGGTAGCTCCCTTCCTTAACTTGGTGAAACATCTCTCTTTTTTCTCCTCAGAGCACTCAGAGTATAATATGTCCCTGGTTCAAACTGAAACTACTACTCTGTGTATGTATGTCTGTGGGTCTTGGGGGTGGAGACTGAGCAATGGTTGGCTGCAGACAAAATACAAGGACTTCCTTGGTATTGTCACTGGTTGAGGGAGAGGATCCAGGGGCCGCCTAGCCCTGTCCCACCCCCCCAGCAACTCAGGAGGTTCAGCTGGAGAGAACAACCACTGTGCTGGGAATCAGAGGTATGGACCGACGGGTCCTATTCTCAAGTTGGGGAAGGGCTCTTGAGACCCTCTGGTCAAAACTGAAAAGAGGACTCCACAGACATTGGTGAAGCAGGTATAGGGTCAGTGTCTATTGATCAGCAAAAAAGCAAGGAAAGATTACTTCTGGGAAACCTCTCTGTACATAAGACTTCCTGAGGTGCTGGGGTTAGAGGTCTAGATAGGTTTCAGGGCTGGGGTCCGAGAACAAAGGAATTAAACTTTATTGGCTGAGAAGGCAAGGACAGTGGACTTGGCCAATGTCCATTTATTGTTGCTTATTGTAGCACCCATCCGCTGCAGCTCAGTGGTTGTGCAGGGCTTGAGACCTTCTCCAAGGTGAATACCTCATGGAGGCTGTGTACTCACAGCTCCATTGTGAACCAGTCTATTCTCAAGGTCTGTGATTCCTTTTTCCCTCATTTTAGAAGCTTACTTAATAAGCTGCGGCAAGATGGCTCAGAAATGGTAAAAATAAAACAACGGGCCAAGGAAATTTATGGCAGCAGGTGCCTGGGTCTAGAATCATCACATTTTTAACCTCTTGTTTATCAGCCTGTGGGAACAGCAAAATTTTTGTCCTTGAGTCCTGCCCTGCCCTTCTTTGGGGCCCTTCCTGTCTCAGTATCATGGGAAAAAGGCAGAGCTGACCCCTCTCTCTCCACTAGTGAGATAGAACCACTGGGAGAGAGTGCCAGACTCCCATGGGTGAAGAGAGTCCACAGCAAAGTCATCTGAAATAATTTTTTGAGCAACTTGGTATCCTCCAGGTAACCTTAATGCTGTCTAGAATCCCAAATATACTCTGATCCTGAGCCAGAACCCTCTTTCCTCCATCCCAGGGTTTCCTATACTAGAGTTCCTACCTGCACTCTCATGGACTTCAGCTGAACCCCAGGGACAACAGGTAGGCTGGGTTGGATGTTTCTTAGAGGTAGGTAGATAGATAGATAGACGATAATTAAGAGTTCCTCTGAATTATAATAACATCAAGATAAATGGTCCTTTGATCTATCTCCTGTCACACAACCCTTGAAACTTACCTTTTGACAAGTACTATAATAGCTGACATCAGTAAGTGAACCATTTAATTCAAAGGTTGTCTCCAAATACATGGCAGCAGCTTATCAGATCCCCAATATATATTCCTACATGAGAATACTTCCTTAGGAGCCCAGTGGCTTTCTCAAAACTGGCTTTCTTTTTGAGGGAGGGATCAAGAAACTCCATCATAGGAGCTTGCCAAGTAGTGCTTCACTCAGACAATGTGGGAAGGCTCATAGGAGCATGTGGGCTGGTGAGGGACTTGGGAATAGAAGAATGTGTTTGTCAGACCTTTCAACAGATTTCTTCTCTGACCTGGCTCATCACATCCAGGGGCCCGAGCTCCACCATGCCCTCCCCCACTCACTACCACCCCTGCACACACTCATCAGTTATTTCAGAAATGCTACAATCTCACTCTTGGGCTCTGCTAAGTCCAATTATGTAAAGATATCTGTTCTGTGACTAAACTTGCAAATACTTCAGGTTTAATTGGTGGTTTGGGATTAAAACTACTCAGTTCTTCCCCAAATCCTAATATAGCCACTAAAATTTGAATATATGTAGTAAATGCGCCAAGGCAGAAATAGTGGCAAATGGCTCCTTCCTTTATGTGGATAAATCCTCCAACAGAGGAGTTCTTTACTCAGTAGAGTTTCTTTACCCCTGAAAGTTTAGGTTAGATGACCTGAAGACCTCATCATTGTTCTGTTTAATTAGTACATTTCTTTTTCCTTTTTTTTCCCAACTGTGAATTTCCACACATCTAGCACCATGTTTTATATATAGTTGATATACCCTACATTTAGTTTTAAAAAAATACAATCTAATAGCCAAAAATCCAACAATCACAGAAACAAGATAGGTCAGATTTGAAAGTAAGAACACAGTAAGATATATCAGTGGTCGATAAGAAGAGTAGCAATTATTTGCTATGAGGCAGCCTCTTTGGAGTGGGCTTCAGAGAAATTGTTTTGGCCTAGTTGGAGAGACAAGGCATACAGATAACGAGTTGAGAGGTGAGATGTGATATTCTGTACAGACCAAATGTTTTAAGAATATGTTTTGTTCATTACGTAGCATAACAGTTTACTGGAGGAGGTCATTTTGGTTGGGATTATTGACATCTTGAAATATGCAGAGGGAGGCCCTGGATTTAAGGCAAGAGGAATCACAAGGGAAGGTGTTAAACCAAAAGGCCTGGGGGAACATGAACAAATTAGTTTGCTAACATGGGGAGATTGTAAAAGAAGCAGTGGGAGAGATGGAAAGACAGGTCCGTGCTTCTCAAGCATGGTTTATGTCTTGCCACATGTTTACAGTAACAGTCTGGCACTGGGTAGCGGAATGAATGTTTATGTCCTAGTCCCTAAGTTCATATGTTGAAATCCTCATCTCAAAGGTATCAGTATTAGGAGATGGGGCCTTTGGCAGTGATTAGGCCATGAGCTTGGAGCCTCCATAATGGGCTCCATGTCTTTGTGAAAGAGACCCCAGAGTACTCTTGTACTCTTTCCACCATGTGAGGATGTGAGGAGAATAGGGCCATCAGTGACCCCACTAGAACCTGACCAAGGTGACATCCTAATCCATGATGCAAGACTAGTCACCTCCAGAGCTGTGAATAGTAAATTTCTGTTATTTAGAAGGCACCCAGTCAATGGTGCTTCATCACAGCATCCCAAACTGACTGTTATAACATGGGTCAGCTAGAGATGCTCCTCATCGTGAAGTAATGCCTATAGCCCAATGCTTTTGGGGTTCACCTTGGTTGGAAAGTTCTGTTGTTAGTTATGGTTCTTGGAGGGTCTGGGTTATCTGACTCAGACATGTACGTATCTTGTAGCCAGAAAAAACACTAGAGTTCATATTTTCACATTCTTTAAGCTAAGACATAAATGACTTACAGAATGCTAACAAAATTATCAGAAAGGCATTTTAAACTAACAGTTTGCCTACATGTCTTGCTTTGTTGTCTGAGACAAATGCCAATCTTTATGGAGTTTTTCAGTCTTTATTTGTTGAGATGAAAAAGAATCCTGTATTGTGTTAAAAGCAGTTGTGATCACAAAACCTTGGCTTATTCCTGTTCAGTCTGGGTCTAACTTTGTGCTAATTCATCACTCTCAGCTTCCTAATCTACTGGAGACACAACAATCTCTCTATGTAGTTCATGGGCACTTGTTTTAAATCTTCAGTTTTCAAAGGAGCATAAATTTACCTAACTATACTATGCCAGATAATGTGTTGGAGGCTCCAGAGGCCATATGTTATTTGACAATACAACATGAAGAGGAAGAAGAAGCATGTCAGCTTGTGTTTTTCTTTTTCAGAGAGAGGAATAGTTTCCCAGAGCCTCCTAGGTTCCCTGTGTCTCTGATGAGAATTATGGCAGTTACGGTATCTGTCCCTCAGCCAATCACTAGGAAAGGGCTAGAATTACCTGAATGGTTTAAGCGAGTCAGGATTTACCTTCTAAGTAAATCCTGACTGACCAGAGAGAGATGGAGATCAGAACAAATGTCTGAGCTCTGATGGCAACAAAGGGGCACTGGGGGTGGGGGCTGGGGGTGGTCAGCCACAGTCCTACATGCCCTTAGAGGGGTAGGGTGTTGCTATGTCATGAGAGTAGAGTGGGCTGCGGCAGGTTCTGGGAAAGGAGCTGTAAGAACACAGCCCAGGGTTTTCACAGCGAGATCTGGGAACCACTGGAACATTCTACGAGTTCTCTATTCTTACTATCAGCAGTTGGCTACTGAGTGTACTTTTTCCTTATTTAGTTAAATGTTGCAAGTAGTGATTAGCAAGCGCTTTGTGATTTTCTGTAAAAGGTGCTTCTGTTGATTTTTTAAATTGAAACAATACTAGTTTATAACATTACATAGGCTTCTGGTGAATATCATTATGAATCAACATCTGCTTACTCTGTACCTCATCCAACTGACCCCTTTTACTCAGCTCACCCTACTCTTTCCCCTCTGCTATTCTTGTAACACTCATTCAGTTAGTTTTATAGTCTAAAAGCTTATTTTTATCTTGTTAGTTTATTTGTTTGATTTGTTTCTTTATCGTGCCACATATGAGTGAAATCACAGTGTTTGACTCTCTCTGTCTGACTTATTTCACTAAGCAGAACACCCTGCAGGCCCTTTCATTTCGTTGCAAATGGCAG